GCATTGATTCGCTACAGGAGGCCTTTGTTCAACCCCCGGAGCCGTGTGAGATGCTTTTTTTTTAATGGATGGGCGCTTTTTATTTAACTTCTTTTGGACTGAAGCAATGCAACACCCGCTGAGTGGCATTAAACAGCTTGAAAGATCAAAGACAATTTTTAATACAACTCCGACTGGATTCGTCTGAAAGAAGAAAGTCATACACCTAGGATGCCTCGGGGGTGAGTCATTTATGGGCTAATTTTCATTTGTGGGTGAACTAACCCTTTAATGCTAATTGGACGGCTTTTGATTGTCACACTCAAATCTGACATGTTTCCACACACACACATGTAAATGTCCAGGTAAAATGATGGATGTGGTTGTAGTTCAGTTGTGAAGGCCTCAGTGGTCCAGGATGCGCAGGTTTCCTGAAACGATCTTGTTCTCCAGCATCGCTCCGGCCGGGATGTCGATTCTGTCTCCATGATTAGCGATAATGATAACCGTTCCCTGTTGTACAGAAACAGCGAGTCATAATATGCACACATGATGTGTGTAAATGCTCACAAAAATCAGAAGTTCATACCTTGAGTGTGACTTGTTTTCCGAAGGTGACATCTCCTGATACAGTCAGGTGATCCAGCTCCAGCATGTCTGGGATGCTCTCAAACCTTTTCAGGAAGTCTCGAACCTAGAAAGTAAAAAAATATATAATAATTATATATATATATATATATAATTAATTTCACAAATTACTTAACTATTGAACAGGTAATTCAATATTTCAGGCCTCTGAGACAATGCTTTTAATTTTCTATATTTTTTAAATTACATTTTCTAGTAATTTCTTTAATAGTAATAATATAACCATTTTAAATAAAATACTGTATTATTAAAGTTAATAATTTAGATATACTCAATTACTGACCAGCTAATGTTTCACGCCTTACAGACAAGGTAGCTTTAAATTATGTCTGTGAAATAACTAATTGTATTAACATTTTCAGCTAATTTCTTTGATGTTTTAAATAGAATATAAACATTTTAAATATAAAATATTTCATTATAAATCAAATAATTAGAATTACATCTAGGAAATGACAAACTTTAAAAATGTTATGAGTTTATTTTTTTATGTTTTAAATACAATAAACATTTTAAATATATAAAATTATTATGTTTATTAAATAAACAACAACAGCATTTAATTACTAAACAGTTCAATTCAGAGTTTCTGGCCTTAAAGACACAGAAGCTTTTAACTGAAGCACATCTGTAAAATAACTTGCATTTCTTTGATATTTTATAATAATATATGATAATAAATTATAATTATAATTAATATAAACATTTAAAATATTTGATTATTAATATTATTTAAACACTTAATTATTTAGTTTATTCATAAAATATTTTATTACTTAACAGCTAATTTAAGATTTCTTTAATTGAATTACATATAGTAAATAACTATTAACATTTGCACTAATTTCTTTGATGTCGTAAATATAATTCATATATTTTTAATATAATATAAATGGTCTATCATGGTCTATTATTGAGGTATTGAGTACTTTACATGAAAGTCAAGCTCTCTCTTCCTGTCTAAGTGGGCGGCTCTTGTCCAGAATAAGCAGCACAGTGTAAAAGTCCTTAGTGAACCTTACTTTAGTGAAGGAGCTGCCCAGTTTGACGTGAGGTGTTGTGGGAAACTCTCTCTTGGGGCTCATGGTCAGAGAGCCCGCGTTCATGCTGTACAGGTTGGACATTTGGTTTTTGATATCCAATGATAATGGATAGGATTCATTCATTTGGACATGAAGCAGCACTGAGATCCCAATATCCCTGGGATCGAACCACTTAGGGCCTTCAAAATGAAGATTCCAAAAGAAAAATTTCTTAGGAACCAGAATCTAAAATCATATTGAGATATCTTCTGTACTTCTTGAGTTACACGCAGGCAAACTTCCGAAAAAGAATCATTTATTGCGCTCGGACAGGTATGTTCAATGCAACTGTTTTGATAGAGGGAAACAAGACACATTTCTAGTTGCAACATTATTTGTTCTTCAGACCTTCATCTTCAAAAGAAAAAAGTTTAAGCTGATTGCAAAGTGACCCACATTTGGGTCTTGACCACTGAAAATGTATACAATTGAATGATTTGCTCCTGGAGCCATACTGAAATTCCAATATCTCTGGAACTGAACCATACAGGGCTTTAAAAATAAAGACGCCAAAAGAAAAGTTTGTTAAGACCCCAAATCTAAAAGGGCATTAAAAATCTTTAATGCTTCTTGAGTTACAGGCATGAAAAGTGCTTTTTCCCCATTTTTGAATGGCCACCATTGGCACATAATGCAACAAAGATTGCTAAAGTCAACAGATTTTACTAATAGACCTACCAATCTCTGTGTAAAAGTACCATTATGATGCTGCCATCTTTCTGAAGTCATTTTTAACCCCCTGTAATTTGGCTCAGAATCTCAGGTGAAAATTTTCATTTTGACCCTCTTCAAAATAGTGGATTACTCAGTAAATACACATCCGTGACATACTATTTTGGCTTTCTTCACTATACAGGTTTATCTTTCTTTAGAAAAAATGCTGGCAAAATTAAAATTTGTTGGGACCTCAGCACCTCTGGTTGAGTTGACATGGAATGACCCACAACGAAAATGACAGCGGTGAGAAAACAGCAGTTAAGAAAACAGAGATGCCCAAAATTGGCCTGTGATGTCCTTTGATTTGACCTGCCATGCCACATCACAAAAAAT